CCCCCCCCCCCCCCGAGCTTCGCGAGTTTCTGCGATACACGTACTTCTAGTATAAACACTTATTTGGGTTCAAAGTTCAGTTTTTATCGAACGCATTCGTTCTTCGTGTCGTGTAGCGTTACATGCACAGTTATTTGACGCGGTTAAGGTCAAATATCAAAAATCGAAATAAACTACAACTGATGCAAATTATTTAAAATGTCATGCTTTACTCGCAGCACTTCACTTTCCACTGGAAACTACTAGTTAAAATAATAGTCGCAAAGGGGAGGGACGGTGAGGAAATTTTATAAATCTTAACTGGAAATGACTTTGCATAAGCAAAAGTGTGACTTAGAAATTCTGAACACAGATTTATATGCAGGGTGTTTATTACCAAAATTCAATTCTAAATTTTATGTTTCATTTCTAAATTTTAGCTTCCACCAAATTCCCAGGTTACCTAATTTTAATATGCTCTTTCAACTTGTGCTAACAAAATTTTTCAAAAGCAAACTGTTTTCGAGTTTACCGAAAGTCGATCACGTGATGAGAGTCCTCCAAAGCGCCTATCAGTTCTCGAAGCGGGAACGTCGTTTCACCCTCCGCCCCCTCCTGGTGCAAGGTTCGGGTGGGACCTCCTCCCTTCGAAAACTGCTAGTATTCACCTCCTCTTTCTTCTCTTCTTTTACTTTTCTTTTTTTCATGCCCTTTTCCTTGCATTCCTCCTTTCCCTTCTTTTCTTCTTTCTGTTCTTTTACCTCCTCTTCTTTCCTCTTTTCTTCCTCTTCTTCCTCTTCTCCCTTTTCTCCCTCTTCTTCTTTTTCTTCTTCTTCCTCCTTTTCTTTCGCTTCTTCCTTTTCTTCCTCTTCTTTTTCTTCTTCCACTTCTTCCTCTCCTCCCTCCACTTCCTCTTTCAAGTATTTTTTCTGTTTCGCTTTCTCTGCGATAATAGCGACAGCAATGAGTTTTCACATGGAAACCATTTTATAAAGAATCCAAAGCAAGACGACGTAGAAAGCTATTCTACGCCAACTTTTTTTGATTTTGTCACATTCAGCAGTAGTTTTTGAAAATGCAACTAACCAACTATTAAATTGAAAGCTGCCCTCCGCAATACACACATCATTATTACTTTACTCAAATGTTTTTTAATCTATTTTATTTTCCGCTACGAGTGGATTCTTTTGTCCTGCAATTCCAAACACAAAAACGAATAGAAATCTCAAACAATCTTTTTTGATTATTTTTCTGAAAATAAAAATGTACGATCGTTATTGGATCCAAAAATGCTACATTTCGGGTAAGCGGTATGCTCCTGATGAAATTCGATATGATATATTTCTTCTCATTTACTTAAACAGCACCTAGGCTCGCAGCAATATATTACAATACGTATTTTTGATCTCAAAGATAAGATTTACTTCCATTACATTTTATTAAACCCAGCAGCCCATCATACCCCCCAAAAGCATTCCACTCAGTCCCCCGCCAAAAACAAACTTTTCTCGCTTACTTACCTCTTTTAACAAGTTTTCTAGTGTCGCAACACTTTTGACCAGTACTCTTGGCTAAAGCCTCTTTAAGACTTTGTCTTTCGCCCAATGGTATGTTAAATTTTTTAAATACATACTTTGCAATTAGAAAAATAAGAATAATTTTGCCATGGCCACAACATGAAGCTTCGTGAACCTTCTCTGTACAAGAATGTAATTCACTTAATCCACTTGGCAACATGACGCCCCAACACAGTTGCATATGGATGGGTGAAGAAAAAGCAATAGTGTTTACCTTGCAGGCCTTCCTCTCGTCCATCCCGCCTAATCCCCTCAGGGGTATCAAGGACTGGGTCTACCTCAAATAAGCGCCCTTCTTCGAATTAGCGCCCTTCCTAAGGCTTAAAATTTGGAATAAGCGCCCCCGCCCCTTCCCCGAGAAAAAAACGAGGTTCAGTACTCGGTACGATATAAGAGACGTACACAGTACTCTTAATGAATGTGACATTCATAATAGTACAAAATTAATGTTGTTCAAAGTCGTACGGGTTTGCTTCTCATTTCCTCGATGGAAATATCCATGTGAGCACATTGGTGCTTCACTTTCATAGGTGCTTCGCATTGAGAACGTTTCAATTTCACAAAAAGTAATTTTCTATAACGTTTTTTGAATTTTTATATGTTGCAGTTTAGGTTAACTAGAAATAAACATAATGTCGTTTTGAGGCCAAAAATTGATAAGTTATGGTAACAGGACTGAGTGGAGTCCAGTTCGGTCTGTAATCAAACAAAATCGGACGACTGCGTAGGGGAGTCCGATTTGTTTAATCACGAGTATGATTACAGACCGAATTGGACGACACGAAATTCTGTCACCAATTAATCATAACTTTACCCTGGGTACCACAGGTTTTTCTCGGGAATTTTCGGTGTTGGCCGAAGGCCGAAGCCACGAGCGGCGTAGCGCGGGTCACTATAAAGACTTAACAGAAACCGGATACCGTGATAGAAAAGTCTCTGGCACCCAGGGTATCATAACTTTAACAAAATTTGTAATATATAAGGTTCTTTTTTAAATCAAAACACAAGAAATTCCAAGAATTTTTTTGCTAATAGTGAAAAAAGGCCATTCAAGCGTTAAGGCTGAAATCAGGGCAGTTGATAGCCAATCGGATTTGAGA